TGGAATGACATGCGTGTCCCGGTACGTACCTACCTACCCCCAGCTAAGGTACTTACCTCTCACACCTGCGGAGCTCAAGCTGCCGGCTGGCAACAGCAAGGGTCCCGTCTGGCTCCATTCTTCCACCCCATTTCTTCAGTGGGGCCGTACCAATAGGGCCACTATCCCTCTTCCGGAACATTGTTTACTTCAAGGTTTGGCGGGCAAGCTGACCGTTGTTTGGTTGCTCTCGCCCTCTTGGACTTTCGTCATTTTCAATATCAGCCCAGCCCAACAAGCACACCATTACCACCACCACCACCATCAACCCTGAATCCATACCAAAGCACGACATCAAAGTCTACCAGTTTCCAATTACAGAACGGCGACCGTCAACATTACATTGCGCTCGGCTTTACACATTATTCTATTGCAGTACATCATTGCGCGCGTCTGCATTTCTATGCCTGCCACACGCGTGTCGCCATGTGTAAACATGGATCCTGAACAGGTCAATTCTCGTCCACCCTCGACGCTCGGCCCGCGCCCCCCGTTCGTTGGCTGACAACCTGTCGCGATACAGAAAACAGAGAGGATGTTTGAGCTGGAGATGCGATACAAACAGGCTGTCCATCAGACAGACCTGTTGGTCAGGGAGGAAGATGGGCGCCGGATGAAGCTGCGCAGCATGGTCCTTCGCGATGATAACTCGTCGCTAAAAGACCAGGTTGCGCACAGGGACAATCGCATCAAGATCCTCATACAGCGAGCCGATGACGCTCGCCACCTAATAGAGTCCATTCAGCAACAATGCGCCCGGCAGGAGAAGCAGATCCAGGCCCAAATGCGCGAGATCGCTCACCTTAAGGTAGGGCGGTGTGCATATATGCTAGCGCGGAAAAGTCGGACCAATGCTGACACCATGCCATAGGAGGAAATCGCAGCTTTCAGCACAGTATCACAGGATTCCGCAAAGATCCTATCCGAGAAACTTGCCCTAACACGCGAGGTCGCCGTCCTCAAGCCCGAAGTTGAGCACCTGAAATCCCAATTGTCACACCAAAAAGATGTCCTCGCCGAAAAGTTGGCACTAGAACGCCAACTGAACACGCTGGAAGTCGAACTCGCCAATGAGAAGCGCGCTGCGGAAAAGGCGGCTCAAAAGCAGGAGCGATATACCAAGGAAGAAGAGGAACTCCGAAAACAGGTCCGCGAACTCGAAAAGGAACTCAACAAGGAGAGAAAGGCAGCACAAAGGAGTGGCGATTCACAACAACAGGTCAAGGCTCTTCGAGAACAACTAGCGACGGCGGAAAAGAAGTTTGCTTCGGAAAAGTCCAAGATGGAACAAGCGACCAGGGCTCAAGTGGAGAAGTCTACCGAGATGGAGGAGGAGCTCGAACAGCTTAGAGAGAAGCTTTCCGAAACAGAACAGGCATTGGCAGCTGAAAAGCGGGCAGCTCAGCGCAAGGCTAAAAACCAGGAGAACAAGGCATCCGTATCGGAGGACGAGCTCGCGGCATTACAGAAACAGATCGACGAGTTGAAGCAGGCTCTGACAGAGGAAAAGAAGGATAAGGAGAGGCTACGAAAAGAGAATCAGCAAGCGATCACCGAGGCCGAAGTACGACAAGCAGCGACGGACGAAAAGCTGGATAAGTTCAGGACCAAACTGCATGAGGCCAAGGAGGAACTCAAAAAGTCCAAAGCCGATCTGGAAAAGGCCCGAGAGAAGGCAGCAAAAGCGGCGCTGGTAACGACAACCACGATACCGACTAAGAAGGCGGCAGCGAAGGTTGCGGGCAAAAAGAGACGTGCGGATGAGGTGTTGCTCGAGGAAACGGCCCTTGGTACACCGGGCGCAGCCGACAGACCGAAGCGTCCTCTTAAGAAGAGGGGATTCGACCCATCGGACATGGTCCAAAAGTCCACATTTTCCATCACGCCTTTCCTCAACAAGACGCTGAACCCAGACGGAACGACCAACGAGGATGTACCGGCACCGGGTGAGGGCGCGGCTGAGAGCGAAGCTGCGCCAAAGCCTACGCCCGCGCCAGCGGAGGATTCCCTTATGGAGCTTGGCGACGACTCCGTCCTAGCACATCTTCGCCCAACAGGAAATACACCAACCGAGGTAAAGGTTACTGAGCAGATAGAGAAGGCCGGCGGCGGTGCTCTGGAAGCCGAGGCAGGGGAGGAGAACAACGGCAAGCCCGAGGAAAAGGCAAAGAAGGGCCGTGGCAAGGTCAAGGCCCTCAAACCGCTCGCAGCTTCGGTAGCGTCAAAGAAGGGTCCTATCAAGGTACCGAAACTCAAGATCAACAAAGTAGCACGCGCTGCGGAAGCTGTGTCAGAAGAGCCAACAGAAGAAAACGGCGAATCTTCGACGCAGCCCCAGCCAGAAACCAGCAAACCGGCCCCCAAGAAACCCGAACTCAAGCCTAAAACCAAGCCCTCATCAGCACCCACATCCGAGTCCGAGCAGCAGCAGCAGCAGCCCACCACCTCTCAACAAGCAGCACCACTCCAAAAGAAGAAGAAACGCAAACTGCTCGGTAATACCAGCAAGACTACGCTCTTCGATAACGACGATGAAGGCGAACGAGTCGACACCAGCATCCTTCCTGGGAAAGGCAAAGTGGCCGCCGCAGTCACAGGGAAAGCGACAGCGAAGAGGGTGGTTGCCCCTCTTGGGAAGACCATGGTGGGCAAGGTGCATATTGCTGGAGGGAGTAAGAATCCTTTTGGGAAAGTGGATAAGTTCAGCCCACTCAAGAAGGATCGTAGGGGAGTTAACGCTAGCTTTTTGCATTAATCTGGTTGGTTGAAGACCCGCCCATTGTTCGTTGTGCCTTTGAAGCGAAGGGATAGGTTTCATGGGCTCATCATGGGGTTTTTTTTAGCTATATAGTGTGCATATGGCATTTGGGATGGAAAGCATTTCTAGCGTCTAGCTGGCGGTCCAGGACTCGGTGTTAATGGAGTTCAATTAGTCGATGGTATGGTATGGCATGACGACTAAGAGTACGATTACGTGCATAGTTCCGGATTCTTTCTGTAGGGCATACACAGACATCAGTATGTAGGCGGTTTACGAAATCACAACACGATTCATATCAAATTCAAACAGATCAGGTCGGACATGATAACGTGGAATAACTTTACTGATTTATAACCGAGGCTGCCCTGATTTCTATAAGCCCCTTTTTTTGTCTTCACCCAAACTTTTATCTTGACCGTAGACCCCTTTTCGATACACAAAGCAAAAGCTATCTCACCCCAAACCCTTCGTAGCGTCGCTTTCTCTTTTCTCTGTCTCCCCTGCCACACCCTTCCTCCTTAATCAAACAACCCCCCAACCGCCATCTCCGCCCACCGTCCCCCAACCTCCCCACAAACCTCCTTGACACTCCGTCCCCTCTCATCCCTAACCCACCTCACATCCTCCTCAGCACCCACCTCCGCTCTCCTCTCGCCCACCCCAACCCCGTTGGCAACCTCCACCACCTCAGCCGGGAACACCTCGGTCGGCAATCCACTTCCCAGCCAAAGCAACAACCAAAACACTTCTTCTCTTCCATTTTCCACAGCAAGATGCAACGCCGTCTTACCCTCGTTCAACGGGTCGCGGAAGGTGAGCAGTTCGCTGGGGGTGATGGTGGTTTCCTCATCTTCCGAAGCGGCCACGTCCGTTAGGAGCTCAATGATACCCGCAAAGTCGCCCTCGGCAGCCATGGTGTGCATAGCGCGTGCAGGGCGCGCCGAAGGGTTGGAAGAGAGGTAGGCTTCTTCAGTGAGGGCAGGTAGGATGTCGAGGGAGGACTGGACACCGCCTTCGTTGTGGTATTGGGTGAGGATGGCGAGGCCCTGGGAGGTGGGGAGGACGGGGTTTGTCGCGCTCACGGGCACCGGGTTCGATGACCCTGAGAACCCCGAAGAGGAGGAAGAGGAGGAATTGGTGGGCAGGTAGGTGTTGCAAGAGGGACAGCGGAGAGAGAGGGCCACGGAAGAGGAGAGGTCCATCAGGCATTGCCAGTGATAGTGGCAGTTGCAGGGGAGGAGGAGGTCATCGGGGACTTGTTGGGGGTGAGCGGAGGAGGAGGAGGAGGGGCCGCCGTTGTCATGATCCTGGTCCATTCCATTGTCTGAGGCGTTGGAGTCCTGGTCTAGATCGTAGTCGGGGTCGACTTCGAGGTAGAGAGGTTCTGAGCAGGCTTTGCAGAGTGACATTTTGTGGTGTGGGTTTGGTGGTAGTATCTGGTTGGGGATTAGTTCAGTGATCACTGGATGGATGGATGAGGCACAGTGGGTAGTATGAGATATGGTGCGGTGACTTACCTTGAATAAAAAGTGAGGTAGTGACTTTGTGTTTCTTACTTTGTTGAAACAACGCGCGTATAGAGGCGTCGTAATCCCAAGTTGGAAATTCTTGCAGAACCTCAATGATTTGCTGAAAAATGTTTGCGGTCGTTGTGGCTTAGACAGATGTGAGGTTATCCCGACGATGCGAATGGAATCAAAGGGACGTAAAATTCTCTACTTCCTGTTAGTGAGGTACAGCGAGGGTCCTGACGCTCAAGGGGGTCACAATGACTGACCCAGTCGTATGTGGAGCCGAGGTATCATTTCGAGACTAGCACAGGTCCACGCTTAACAGAACTCCCAACCCAAACGGAATGGAAGCCTTGGCGGTGGTTCACGGCGGTTCCCATGCAAGTGGAAAAAGCCAGGGCACCAGGGGCAGGGTTGTCGCCGGGTTGGCTGCCTGAAGGATGGCTGATTGGGCAGCGACGGCGTTACGAAGCTGGGCGATTACATCAGACTGCTTCTGGGACCTGCTGTGGGTGTTAGTGCTTGTCTCGATTGCGATGGATGGCGTCCCCGCCCCCGCCAGCCGTACGTACCTTGACGCCTGTAATGGCCATGCTCTTTTGAGCTTCGCTTCCCATCTTCGGCCGGCGACGCATGAAACGGGAGCAGGAATAAGGCACTTCATCCATCATTAGCAGCAGGAACCAGGACTCGTACAAATACCTAACATCCAACTCCGCTTTTCCGCCAGAGCATAGATCCAGTCATCATCATCACCCAGCACCGCCTAGGTACACTACACCCATTAGGAAAATAATCTAATAAACGACGACCGCATTGGGCGTCTTCATTACTTTTGTTAATAGAGGGGTTATCTCTTTTCCACGGTTCCCGCCGGATAACCTTGCGAGCGCCATTCATCACTAAGACGAGTGGTTCCCCGATCGACCCCTTTTCAACACTACCATCCGCAACGATGAATGTCCTCAAGATCCAGAGGTAAGAAGACGAAGACGGGCCTTCAAAAGCCAAGGACGACATGGGCAACAGCAGAACACAGCTAATGGAACTAGGAAATTCCCTCAACTACAGCAGAGCGACATCTTCGGATTGGCCGATGCCTTCCGCAAGCTCGACGTAGACGACAAGGGGTACATTGACGAGACTACTGCCATCAAGGCCACCCAGGCCAGCGAGCGCCAGCCCTACGATGCCGTCCGCGCGGCCCTCAAAGAAGTCGGTCTCGATGCCTCGCGCCGTGTAGAACTCGAAGATTACGTCGGGGTAAGTCGAAGCCTTCTTCCCAACAACAGTGGAGAGGGGTCGCAGCACCACCACATACATCTCACTTCTTGAAGGCCACCCAGGTCGCATTCCGTATACTAGGTACCATTCATCAAAAGATCTGGCTGACAATTTCCACCCTGTAGCTCGTCGCGAAGCTCCGCGAAGGTCCCGGCAGCGCCCCTGCTGCTCCGTCAACTCCCGCTTCTGTCATCGCCCAGCGGACGGGAGGCGCTACTCCTAGCCACGCATCGAAGCCCTCCGTCGGTGGCAGCGGCAAGATCTTCGTCCAAGGCTCAAACGCTAACATCACCCACACCATCAACGAAGATGAACGTACCGAATTCACACGCCACATCAACGCTGTTCTTGCGGGCGACCGCGACATCGGCAGCCGCCTGCCTTTCCCGACCGACACCTTCGAGATGTTCGACGAGTGCAAGGATGGTTTGGTTTTGGCCAAGCTCATCAACGATAGCGTTCCCGATACCATCGATGAGCGTGTACTGAACATGCCCGGCAAGAAGACCAAGACCCTCAACGCGTTCCAGATGACAGAAAACAACAACATTGTTATCGAGTCGGCAAAGGGTATTGGCTGCTCCGTCGTCAACATTGGTAGCTCGGATATCATTGAGGTCAGGGAGCATCTTATCCTGGGTCTTATTTGGCAGATTATCCGCAGGGGCTTGCTCAGCAAGATCGATATCAAGCTCCACCCCGAGCTCTACCGCCTTCTCGAGGAGGACGAGACCCTCGAGCAGTTCCTCAGACTCCCTCCTGAGCAGATTCTCCTGCGCTGGTTCAACTACCATCTCAAGGCCGCCAACTGGCCCAGGAGGGTAGCCAACTTCTCCTCTGACGTCAAGGATGCCGAGAACTACACCGTCCTCCTCGCCCAGATCGGTTCCGAGTACGGCTGCACGAGGGCGCCTCTGCAAACGCGCGACCTTCATCAGCGGGCTGAGGAGGTTCTTCAGAACGCCGACAAGCTCGGTTGCCGCAAGTTCCTCTCTCCCTCTTCCCTCGTGGCCGGTAACCCCAAGCTCAACCTCGCTTTCGTTGCCAACCTCTTCAACACACACCCCGCGCTTGACCCCATCACTGAAGAGGAGAAGCTTGAGGTCGAGGACTTTGACGCTGAAGGCGAGCGTGAGGCCCGTGTGTTCACCCTGTGGCTCAACAGCTTGGATGTCAACCCCGCAGTCCAGTCCTTCTTCGACGACCTCCGCGATGGTACCGTCCTTCTACAAGCATATGACAAGGTTATCAAGGGTTCCGTCAACTGGCGCCACGTCAACAAGGCTCCCGCGCATGGCGGTGAGATGCTGCGTTTCAAGGCCGTCGAGAACACCAATTACGCGATCGAGCTGGGCAAGCAGAACGGGTTTTCCCTGGTTGGTATCCAGGGTGCCGATATCACGGATGGTCAGCGCACCTTGACCCTGGGTCTCGTCTGGCAGCTGATGCGCAAGGACATTACCCTTACCCTGCACGGTCTAGCCCAACGCCTCGGCAAGCGCGAGATTACGGATGCGGAAATGGTCAGATGGGCCAACGAGATGAGCCGCAAGGGCGGCCGCAACTCGAGCATCCGCTCGTTCAAGGACCCTGTCATTGGCTCGGGTATTTTCTTGTTGGATGTGCTTAACGGCATGCAGAGCAACTATGTCGATTATGACTTGGTTACTCCCGGCAAGACTGATGAAGATGCTTACCTCAATGCCAAACTCAGTATCAGCATTGCCAGAAAGATGGGTGCCACTATTTGGCTGGTGCCAGAGGATATCTGCCAGGTGCGCAGCCGCTTGGTCACGACCTTTATCGGTAAGTTACTCCTTTTAATTATTGGGCTTTCATTTGACTGGCCGGGCTAACACATGCGCTAGGTTCGTTGATGGCTACCTATGACAAGATGCAGTAAATATTAAGTATGACGAGAAATGATGAAGTGGTCTTGCTTGATAACTGGAGATGAATATAAAGATACAGCCTTGTTAGGGCGATGGACTTAAAAAGTTGAACAGACGAATTGTGTTGTTTACGAGTGTTTATTCTCTCTTGGTGCCAACCCCTCACCTTCCCAAGCCATTTCACATTGAATGTTCAATTACCCGCTGGTTGCACCGGGAATCCCAAAGGCTCGGTCGGTCATTTGACGCCAAACAATCCAAGCTGTCAGCTGCATCATTACACAACCTCCAAAACCCAAGCCAATAAAGCCTGACCAAATGAGGCGCGGTGGCAACTTCAGCCCTATAGTGTTGATTGAAGCGACATCTCCGGTTCATCCGACGTCCAGGGCCCTGCATATGTCATTCCTCCACTCCACAGGACCCTTGTCTCCATTTGCGAGCTTCTATGCACCGAACGAGCGGGACTTGGCCTAAATCATTGACAGCGTCATAGCGTCTTGGATGTTCGGATCAAAAGAAGAAAGTCTACACTAAATTTTGAACATCACCGCCAGTCATTTGAACACCGTAGAGGTACCTAGTTTTGTCTTTGTTTCGTTCGGGTTAAATAAGACAGCAGGGTACACAACCCGCTTTTAGAAGGGGAAGGATGGATAGTGGTAAGCTCATCGGCATCTCGCAACTCGGCTCTCCTCGATACAAAGGCGCGCGGAGAGAAGCGAGGAGGTCTGGTTCTACTTTGATTGAATCAGGAGATCTGTTTCGATTTATGAAAGTTCCAGTTTCCCTTTTTTTCCCGCACAATACAGAATCAAGTGACGTCCATCGTAGGCCTTTTGTCCCCCCCGATCATCAACGAAACCCCGGACTTTCCGCATCCTTTGCCTTTGCCCGTCTTCGTGTCCCTGTCATTCACCAAGTTAGGTCCTTTTGCTTACGCCGCGCCGCAAATAGTAAAAAGTATTACTCTAAGCACACCTATACCCCTATTTGGCCTACGTAAAAGACTGAGCCCGTTCATCTCTTCTTCCACAGAAAATCCGTCGATCCTATCCCGATCGTCCCGCAATTGATCCCGATAAAAGGCATGTGTACACTACACTTGCCCGCTTGTCTTAAGATCCGCTTTATCCGGAGTTGGGAGGGATCTGGGGCCTCGGGTTCTCTACATGGGCAAATCTTGTTTTCTTCTTCTTTTTTTCCAATTTGATTGACGTCTATCCTCAAAGGAGTGCTCTGTCTCTTACACTATATCTATAAGAAACTTCTCAAAAGAGCTTTGCTTCGCTTACCTTGCTCTTTTCTTTTAGTATCTTTTCAAAGTTTAAAAACAGACTGCATCATCGTGTCAAAGTTGACGGCCGGCTTACTACCCAACATACAATCGGGATAGGAGTACCGGACCATCATCGAGATTAGCATTGCCCTGCAACAAAAGCTATCGACATTACGCGGCCATCCGTGCGATTCTGATCCACCACCAAAGGTCCACCATCTCAAGGGCTGTCTTTCTTTGAAGTTTGGCTGTATTCGCACCTCTTTGAAGGGCCAAAACTTGCCGTCGCTACAAAATCGCCTCACCATATTTAGTCCTTCAAAAAAGGGCGGCACGAAAGCGACTGACGACGAGAGGCCATACATAACTTTGGACTAAAACCCACAACAGTTCCCCAAACCCACGGGAACCATGACATTCATATCCAGTCACCCAGCGCCAGCGCCAGTGCCAATGCCAAACGGCCATCTCAAAGCACGAACAAGACGCTCATCATTCAAGCCACCATTATCAGCTACATCGACATCAACATCGAACAGTATCCTTACCACCAACGGCAAACTCGAAAACCTAGTTTTCGACCGGCCCTTCTTCTCCCTGCCAACGCCAGATCAGAGTCCCCGTTTATCTCGCGAAGAGGAGAGTGATGGCGATGGAGGAAGAATTTCACCATTAGACAGCAGCAGCCGGGCTGAGACACCCAGCGAGCCAGGAGCAATGTCAAGATCATCACCATCATCGTCCGGAACGAACAGTCCAGCCATCGAAGACTACGATGACCTCACCACTTCTTCCGAAGCGATGGTGCAGCGGGATGAGAACGGGGAGGTGAATGAGAGAAGTTTACCAGCCGCGAGGCAAGGGCCGGCGGCGTTTCCGCTTACCATGATGATGAATACGCAACAGTTGTCTGGTAGTGACAAGGACGTTGCTCTCTCAGTCGAGAGGAAGGGGAAGGAAAGCAGCCATGGAGCGTTGAAAGCAGTCCGACCTGACATCCACGTCGGAACCACCACCCTTTCAACAGCCGACATCCACAACTCGCTTCTGACAGCTATCGAGAAGCAATGCCATAAGATAGAGGGAATGTCGTCCGATTATTCTTCTTCCTCTCCCACCACGTCCCTACACCACTTAGCTGCAGCTGCAGCAGCAGCAGCAGCATCAACGGAATCAACCGGCCATGCTGTCAAACGATCAAAAAGAAGGGGCAAATTCTCCGACTTGGTCTTCACCCGCAACTTCTCCACCTTTGACCGGCAAAACGCCCTGGCAGCCTCGTCGCCCTTCCACGGCTTCTTCACCCTCTTCTGGCTCGGCATCTCCCTCTTCGTCATCAAGATCGGCGCCGAGAACTGGCGGCAGAACGGCAACCCGCTGGGGCGGAACGAGATTTTTCGAATCATGTTCCATCGGGACCTGGTGGTCTTGCTCATCGCCGACGGTATAATGTGCCTATCCACCGGCGTTTCCTGGGTCCTGCAGCGCCATTTTGTCCGTCGAGGCGTGGTCGATTGGGATGAGGAAGGGTGGGTGTGGCAGAATATCTGGCAGTGTTTGTTCGTGGCTGGTGTGGTGGGCTTCCCACTGTTGAGGGACTGGCCGTGGACACATACCGTTTTCTTCGTCATGCACGGCATGGTGATGCTGATGAAGATGCATTCGTACGCGTTCTATAATGGGTATCTGGCGTCGGTGTGGAAGAAGCGGCAGCTGTTGCTGGGAACACTGAAGGAGCTTGAGCATGTAGAGGTTGTTACCAAGCATGACCCGAACAGGAGCTGGACGGAGCCGTTCCCGCTGCTGCCGAGAGACCTGTCGACTGAGCATCTATCGAGAGTGCCGTCGGCGCAGGCGTATAAAGAGAGGAGAAGGATGTCGACTGCTGCGCAGCAAGGGGCTGATGGCCAGGAAGGAGAGAATGATGTGGACAAGATCGTTGCGGCGATTGACTCGCACGAGCCGTTGAATGAGGAGCAGGTCCATGTTTTTGAAAGGGCGCTCAAGTGGGAGGTGGACGCCATGACGGATGAGCTCAGGGGCAAGGCGACGGACGACAAGAGGGTGTATCCGAATAACCTGACGCTGGCGAACCATTACGAGTTCATCGTGCTGCCGACACTGGTGTACGAGCTCGAGTATCCGCGGTCCGAGTCCATCAACTGGTACTATGCTGCCGAGAAGATGGTGGCCTGTTTCGGAGTCATTTTCGTCATGATCATGATCTCGCAAGCCTTCATATACCCCGTGGTCATGGAGACGGTCAGGATGAAGGAGATGGGGATGCCGTTGAGCGAGCGGTTCCAGTATTTCCCCTGGATGCTGGCCGACTTGATTTTCCCCTTCATGATGGAGTATCTGCTGTCGTGGTATCTCATCTGGGAGACGATCCTTAACTTTGTAGCGGAGATGACCAAGTTCGCCGACCGGAACTTCTATGGTGCCTGGTGGAACAGCGTGTCGTGGGATCAGTTCGCGAGAGACTGGAACCGACCGGTGCATAACTTTCTGCTCAGACATGTGTACCACAGCTCCATCTCGGCCATGAAGGTGAACAAGCACACGGCCACACTGATCACCTTTTTCTTGTCGGCATGTGTTCATGAGCTCGTCATGTGGTGCATCTTCAAGAAGCTGAGAGGCTATTTGCTGTTCCTCCAAATGTTCCAGTTGCCGGTAAGTTCAGATATCCCCTAACCTACGTGTTGACTGACATGATGCTGACGTTTCTGGACAGCTTGTGAGCTTGAGCAGGACAAAGTGGATGCGGAATAGGAAGACATTGGGGAATGTTTTCTTTTGGCTGGGTATATTCACGGGCCCGAGTATCCTGTGCAGCTTGTATCTGATTTTGTAGAATGTAGCAACGGGGAGGATCCGACGGCATCGGCGTTCATGGAGGACGGCGTGGTATACATTGTTGACAGATGGACTTGGATGAGGTAGGATAGAGGTATCTTCGTCGGTTCAATATAATGCGTATTCGAGTGTGCTACTATTCCTATTCCCATTTTTCTTCCAAATTAATTGTACTGTGATTATGGCCTTGGTAGTTGTTGGTACAGTGTTAGTGTTGGTGTTGGTGTTGTTAACGTTAACGGCAGTGACGGGGGGGATTGAAGATCGTCAAAAGGGAGAGACGGGAGCCGAGACGGGAGACGGGAAGGCATGTGGAGGAAATCGGGCCATCTTGGACCCTGCCCGCCCTGAGGAAATTGTTAGTGTCAAAGGCTGTTTGTTGGTGCGTACTAACTGTCGCGACGGCTGCCAATCACACAGGCGATACACCAATCATACGTCATTTACATGTGGGCCCATTACCTACCTTTCAAACTTACCGCCTTCTCAATTCCTCACCCATCCGGATTCCGTCCATGCCCCTGCCTCTGTCTGGGCCCCAGCGTTCCCGGGCGTCGAGTGAAGGTATTTTCAGCAGGTGCGTGGGTGTGCCTGTGCCCGTGTCGGCTGCAGTGGCCGGGCTCGACGATTCGACCAGAAACGGAACATCTTCCACTGTGCTCCAGCGACATCCAAGGAAATTTCCATCTCCGGGCATTCTCACAAGGTTCGAGGTTCCCCTTCCGCTTCCCGCTGCTTCGCTTCCTTTCTCACCTAATCGGTTCTCCCCTTCACCTCGCCAAACCTAACGGTGTGTCCCGTCTCCTCTTTCCACTCACCACCACCCCATCCCTCTCCCAGCTCCTACCTAGTAGTATAGTGTACCCTTTCCCCCCATCCCACTTCCATCGATTGCTGCTTATCCATTCGTCGCCCTTTTCCATTTGCAACTCCCGTCTACCTACCTACCTACTTTACCTATCTTGTTTCCGCCCCAGTCGGCCTCTCCTTTGCCCGAGAGCAGCACACTCATCTAGCATTTACTCTTAGGCCTGACATCTGTCATCATCATCGACCGCGACCGCGAATCGCGCACGCCATCGATTCTCACCATGTCTCGCAACGGCACCACTCTCTACGTGACCGGGTTCAGCCACGGCACCCGCGCACGCGACCTTGCCTACGAGTTCGAGCGGTACGTTATCTAGCAAGCAAGCAAGCAAGCAATCACTACAACGGCGATGACTCGATCACCACCTTCGAGTACGGTTCCTGTCCTCGATCCGCCCTCGCCCTCCCCATCCCGCCCCGTCCTCTCCTCCATCTCTCCCGCCCCCGTCGTCGAACCCCCCTCCGAACCCTCTCCGTCTCCGTCTTCGCCCTTCTTGCGACAGTCTCCTATCTCCTGTCCGTCTCTCCCGCCGCTTTTCGCTATGTCCACTGCGCTTCATGATCCGCTCGAGGTAACCTCGTTGTCATTCCGACGCCCACGCCCTCGAACCATTCCCTTCTCTCACCGAGCGGTTGGCGCCTACACGTATCCTTCCTCCCACGTCGGGCGAGTCGCCCGTCCATCTTGGCGGAATTTCTCGAGCTCGATCGCGCGCCTCTGCGAAACGGCATCCTCATCTTTACGAAACGAATCATTCTACGTTGGTGCCCGAGTACTGACGCATATCATAGCTACGGCCGTCTTGTTCGCTGCGACATTCCTGCTCCTCGTAGTGCCAGCAGCAGACTGTATGTTACCTTGCTTATCCCCCCCAAGTGATGGAACCGAGTTGGCGCTAACGGCAAGCTTCAAAGTTTTGCTTTCGTTGAGTACGAGGATCGTCGAGATGCCGACGACGCGTACCATGATATGCACAACAAGCGCATTGGCCGTGATGACATCCTGAAGATCGAGGTCAGTTCACCTTTTCCTGCCACGACAGACCCAAGCTCATACTAGGCTGGTTGCTAATTCCAACTACAGTGGGCTCGCACTCCTCCCTCTGCTTCTTGGCGCTTTGACCGCAGCGATCGTGAGCGTGGTCCTCGTGGCCGCGACCGCTCACCCCGCCGCCGCTCTCCCAGCCCCAGGCGCAGCACTAGAGACTACTCCCCTAGGAAGGATGATCGTCGTGACCGCGACCGCGACCGTGACTACGACCGCGACCGCCGCGATACTCGTGACCGGTCTCGCAGTCCTGAGCGGTAGGTGGCCCATAACCTTTTGCAACGTGTTTTCTGCCCGATGCTGACGTTTCTCCAGTGAGCGTGAGCGCGATGTTAAGGACGATCGCGACCGCGAGGACCGTGATCGTCGCGAGAACGGCACCAACGGTGACGACAGAAAGGGTACGTACACCCTTTGAGCGAGCAACCCCACCGTGCACGACCGTGATCTGACGACCTATCCTTCTGCAGCCATCGATAGCCCGGAGAGACCTGCCCACGATGACCTCGACGTTGCCGAGTAAACGGATCAACATACTCACGGCGCGGGGTCACTCCGGTTTTGGCGCCAGTCACTCAAGCCCCGCCTTTTGTGTTGGCATGTTGTAAGAAACGCCAATTGTTACCATGGTTTTGTGCTTTTCTCTGTTTCTGTGTCTGGTGGGCATGCTGATGTCTGCACCTCTTTCCTGGGCAGCTGCATATGGCGTGCTGGCTATATGGCGCCTCCTGCCTGATTTTTTCCAACTCTAGAATCCAGACGAAGCGGTCGATCGGGTGCTCTTGAAAACAACACTCGCCATTTCGACCATTCGGGAGCTACAAAATCTGCAAGGTTGATCCTTTTGTACGATGGCACACTGCTGGTTTGGATCCATTATTCAATGACCTGTGAAAAGACGAAACAAACGGCCGTTGTATACCGATGTAAAGGTCATGACTCCAAAGGCTTTTGCTTCATTGCCTTGGCAAGTCCGGAAAGGAGGGCACACAAAATAAGCATATCGGATGATCCCTCAAGGGGCGGGTGGAAAGGGGCTCTTGGTCTTGGTGACCGGCGGCCTGGTTGTTTTTATTTCCTTAGTCGTTTGTCGTCTTTTTTTTTTTTTTTTATCTCTCAACAGAAAAGTAGCTAGAACAGCTGTTTAGGTAGTAAATGGTAGGGGCTACTGAGGTGAACCCGGTTCGGCGAGCAGACTTGAGTGACGAGGCGGACTGTATAACATCAGTGCCGATTTTGCTTTTTGTCCTTTCATTGTTGGGGGTGTACAGATACTCGGACCCTTTTGCCCCGATGGCCGTTATGACGCTAGGTGTTTCTGTGTGTTCAGAGTCAATTGGTTCACATATCGACAATCTAAGATGTTCTAGCGTGTGTCGTGATACTTTCCCAACCGAAGCAATCGCAAAGGCACTTCTAGTATGCAGAACTTATATTAAGTTGAGAAGTCTTCCCGAATTTTAACCGTTATGGAATAGTGATTCGAGTTCAATGAGGTTGAAGGAAGCTATGGTTGGTACCGCACCTATGAAAATCAGATTGGTTACATCCTGCATCTCCGTTGAAAGCCGAGCAAAAGCGCTACAAAGTAGATTGGCTAACTAGTGAATTGGGAATATTGGCATGTGCAATCATAATCCTGGTCCCAGGAAGCTCAGATGTATCACTAAAGTGCTGGCAAAATCCGACAAGTACAGAGTTGTACCGGCCTGCCTGAAAGGCTTTGCCATATCATCCTCGACCAGGTGTTTGTGAGCTTCATGTTAAATTGTTGATATAAACGACATCAACCTCAACCTGTTGAGTGAACAAGTACTTGATGACCTCTGTAGTTCATAGCCAAGCCATCAATCAAAGCCGAAATGGTACCACGCAAAGGCAGGCCAGCCGGACGGTCATGCCGTCTCCCTCTCTGTCTGATCTACACTACGGTTACATCACATGAGCTGTCCGGGAGGTGCGCGAGTTGTATGTGTGTTGTGCGTGCTCAGTTACAAGCCCAAGACTCCTAATGCTGCTGTCCGCCTGTGGGCTGCCTCGTAAGCTGTTATTGTATTCTTGATGTGCTGAGTAGGGAGTGACGCGCAAGTTGTCGGCTTCTTCTAGACTCTGTCTCCCCATGGGACATATATTCCAGTACGTTGAAGAATGTCAAGGGTAGGTAAAGCAGCAGTAAGGGTTAGGTTAGCGTAGCCAACGTAGGGCTAGAGAGCATAACCGAACGGATGATCCTCGATTTTGTCCCCTTGTAGCGTAGTCTCTCGTAGCACTGGACCCTTGGCGACTTAGTCAAGGCGGTCAGGTGACCCTCAAAAACGGATAAGCTATAAGGTTTGTGAAATCAGCTGGATCTATCCGGATAGGTACAAGGTTGTTCTCATTTGGCGTTTGTGGAAACTGTAAAGGGGGTGGCAGAAACTTGAAATCGAAGAAACAAGCGCCAGCTGGTCAACAAATCACAAGAGGAACAAACTAAGCATTGATGTTCGAGAACTTTAAGAACACTGCATGCTTAGACATTGGCAGCAAGACAGGATGATACATAGGTAGGGGACGACGACATGGCAACCATTCACTGCTGGATTCGGGACGTGAAGGAATGACTTTGTGCCTGCCTGATCACGTTGCTGTGGTGGTTAAGTTGTCGGCTGCTGAATCTCCCAATGACTTTTCAGTTGCATTGAATTGCTGGGGATTTTTCGTTCGGAACCTGGCAACCCCACAACCTAACGAAGCCATGAACACTCGGCCGGGGTCCCGCCCAGTGCGCCCTGGACGGGATTTACTCATTCACTTCTTCTTCCAGAAGGAACAGCCCAAAAAGCTCCGCATCTCTCACTGGGCCCTGGAACCCGACCGGTTTTGTTCCTGTTGACAACTTCCCGACTCTCCTTTAAATACCCTTTCCCTTCCGAGCTTCCCTTCCTTTTTGCCCGTGTCCAGTCTTCTTCTTGTGTCACGGAGCTTGGTTAGGTTGTGCCTCTTACCGTATATACCTTTTTGCGTTACGTGTAATGAACAAGTTAATGCGCCTCCGTCTGTTTAATTCTTTTACGCACACTGTCTACTAGCCTTCCCGCCGACATAAGATACTTAATCAATTCCCGGTGCGACGGGAACCCCTAGATTGGCTTTACCGAGAACACGCTCAACCCCCAGTCCATATTCAACAAAAGCCGACAAAACTTCCGTCCTGCGATATTTCACTCTCCCATTACGACGAGAACCAATTTCTCACCAAGGCGATTCACCTTTCTGTCAACGGTACAGAAATCACTTTTGCAACGAGATACCCTTAAGCCGACGGGAGCTGCATGCACCTTTAGCTATATAACCGCCTGTCAACGAGCCCTGCGTCATCGTTCTTGGCGTCATATTTTCGATCATCCAAAGGACACACATCTACCTTGCGCATGCGCCCTGTGCCCCTGAGAAGCGACATATCGAACTTCCCGAGAACTTCAAACCAGCCCGAGTCCAAGAGGTAGCCCCTCTCACCAAGTCCCCAGAATGTCCGCGGTATGTTCACCCCTTCCCCCGCGATCTATATGGCACGCCGCATGAGCCATAATCGTTGCGCAGCGACTTGGTGCGCTCCCACTTCCGTTTTCCCGATACAAGCCGAAACCGTGAGCGTGGACGCTTGTTTGTACGTTCCTGTCTTTTGACCTTGCGCTGACTTCTCCTGTCAGACGCCAAGCGCTAGCGGCGCGCCCTCGCCCCTACCCATACCAACCGTCGAGAAACTGAGCGCCGCCGACCAGTTCCGATCCGTAGTTTCTCAGCCTACCGTGGCTGCCTTTTGTGCTGGCGGTGTCGCCGGTGCCGTCTCCCGAACAGTAGTCTCACCTCTGGAGCGCCTAAAAATCCTCTACCAGGTCCAAAGCAGCGGTCGCGAAGCGTACAAGCTTAGTGTGGGCAAGGCGTTGGCCAAGATGTGGAGGGAGGAGGGCTGGAGGGGCTTCATGGCCGGTAACGGCACCAATTGTATCCGTATCGTGCCATACTCGGCGGTACAGTTCGGAAGCTACAACTTCTACAAGAGAAACATCTTTGAGAGGCATCCGGGCGACTCCCTCACGCCCTTGTCGAGGCTGACTTGTGGTGGCCTCGCCGGCATCACCTCAGTGACCTTCACCTACCCTCTCGACATCGTTCGCACGAGGTTGTCGATCCAGACCGCGTCGTTTGCGGAGCTTGGCGAGAGGCCACGCAAAATGCCCGGCATGTGGGAAACTTTGGTCAAGATGTACAGGACCGAGGGCGGATTCCCGGCTCTCTACAGAGGCATAGTTCCCACTGTCGCTGGTGTTGCTCCTTACGTAAGTCAAACTTGGCATGTGTCAAGGTAATCCGTATGTGCTGACCGTGGTCAATAGGTCGGTCTCAATTTCATGGTTTACGAGCATGTCCGCCAATACCTAACCTTGGACGGCGAGCAAAACCCTAGTGCCGTCAGGAAGCTGCTCGCTGGTGCGATTTCCGGTGCGGTGGCCCAGACCTGCACCTATCCCTTGTGAGTCCAATTTTCCCCCATCTTTCATGCGCATGACTAATTAGGGGGAAAAAAAAGCGATGTTTTGCGCCGCCGTTTCCAAATAAACACCATGTCTGGTATGGGCTACCAGTACAAGGGCATATTCGATGCCGTGCGCGTCATCGTCACCCAAGAAGGGATCCGCGGCTTGTACAAGGGAATAGTACCCAACTTGCTCAAGGTCGCGCCTAGCATGGCGTCGAGCTGGCTCAGTTACGAGGTCTGCCGTGATTTCCTTGTGGGACTGAAGCCTGAGGAGACCAAGCTCTTGCAATAGACGCCACGAGCTTGGATCCATACCACGAATCCAACGAACATCGACACCACCGAGGGCCCGCTGCCGAAAGCAAACAAAAACAGACAATAGAAGTCAGTAATAGAGGGGCAATGATAGAGCCCTTGCATTTCATACGCGTCGACTTCTTCCTCCATAAGTAACCGGTGATAGTCCGTCATATCAAACCACGCTTTAATCAACCGACGCTCTATATGAAATCACAGCATAAGTCAACCTGTGAGTTCACTGGTGGGAATGGTGTTGAAGTAGCTCGAAGCACTCCTATATCAAGTGATGACAGCGTTCTCATCAAAAAACCGGATTTGGCTTCAGCCGGGCAAGTGTCTGTCAAGAGCAGTCTAATGAAGCAGTGTGTTGGATTGTGTTTCTGTTTTATTTTCTTCTCTTGCTTGAATGCGAGCTCGTTCTTATTGCATCGAAGGCCATGTTGCTTGTTGAATAACAATAAATTGGCAAAAGCACAGCGGAAATCCACAGGCATGTTTCATACTGAAAAAGGGAGAGTCAGTAAGTAGCTAGAGCGGGGCATCTTTGCAACAACATGGAAAAAAATTGACGATAGAGAGAAGTCACAAGTGCAGATTGGCTACTTGTGGCAAAGGTAGATGGAAAGATATACTAGTGTACCGAATGCATTCTCAATTGGTGTGACTTTCCTCGAACGTTCGAGGATGATTGGAGGCGAGACCGGTGACAGCCGAACTTGGCTCGAACACACGGGATGACAACAATGACGGAACGTCCCGCAAAAGGGGAAAACAAAACAAAGAAGTGACAGGGATGTGACTGGTGGATGGACGCACGAGCCATGCTGAAGCTGTACGCACAGACTATTCCTCCACCAGCTGGCGCCTCCAGGCCCACAATCCCAATTTCTGCCACAGGTGACCGCCCGCACAAAATCCGCTGGCGGTTGGACTCCAAAAACTTCTGTGAATTTTGCGGCACCTTTTGATTTCTGGATTTTGACAACCCCCGATTTCAGTCGACAATCGAGAGTCAGCCGCCAAGATGGGTACGTAAAAACAGCAAAACACCATCACCAACTGCCACCGAAATGGCCTCCATTGAAGCCTTTGTGTGCGAGTGGACGAGATTTTCTCAACGTTGAAAAGCTGAGAAACTTCTTCGATCTGCGACCATGGCAATTTTCACCTGCGTTCCCGGTCGCTGGAGATGGTCCTTGTTGGCCCTCGATAGATGCCATACTGCAATCAACCAGATCGCTCCCTCTTTCTGAGAATGAAGAGGACGACGGTCTGATGCGGATTGGCTTCGAGGCGCAAAAACAACAAAGGACGTACTTCGCGCACTTGGTCGAGCAATGGCACGCCAGTCTGAGCATACCTGAACCATTGAAGGCTGACTGGGAGTCTGTTTGCGACGAATAGGTATCGATCTCCGCAAGCACCACGAGCGGTCCACTCACCGCAAGGCCCCCAAGAGCGACAATGTCTACTTGAAGCTCCTGGTCAAGCTTTACCGCTTCCTTGCCCGTAAGTTTTTTTTTCTTCATGTCTATGGCCCTCTTCTCTTGTAAGACTCGTCATGATGCTAACAACGCGCGCTCCCAGGCCGCACTGACTCTGCCTTCAACAAGGTCGTGCTCCGCCGGTTGTTCATGTCCCGCATCAACCGTCCTCCCATGTCCATCTCTCGCATTGTCGCCAACCTCAAGGGCAACGAGAAGAAGACCGTCGTTGTTGTCGGTACCGTCACCGATGACAACCGTCTCCTGACCGTCCCCAAGGTCTCGGTTGCTGCCCTCCGCTTCACCGCCACTGCCCGTGCTCGCATCGAGGCTGCCGGTGGCCAGGCCATCACCCTCGACCAGCTCGCCCTCGAGAAGCCCACTGGTGCCAACACCCTCCTTCTCCGTGGCCCCAAGAACGCTCGCGAGGCCGTCAAGCACTTCGGCTTCGGTCCCCACAAGCACAAGGTGCGTCGCATCATACACATCTCAAAAAGAAATAGATTACTGACACCCATCACAGAAGCCCTACGTCGCTTCCAAGGGCCGCAAGTTCGAGAAGGCCCGTGGTCGCAGAAGATCCAAGGGTTTCAAGGTCTAAACGGAGCAAAGATACCCCTGGCGACATCTGGTACAAGGCGTGGGGAGTCTTTTGTTGCTCTCTCTTGTACTGCTGGCAAGAATGGCTTTGCTTGGCTGTTTTTGCTGTGCGTATTTGGGTTTGCATGGGGCAATACTCCGGGCTGCAGCTGGTGTGCAATCATCATAGGGCAACTTTCTTCAGTTTATGACAAGGGAATTGATGACCACCACGTCTTTACCAGAACCATTCGATATTTGTGACTGCTGTGAATGCTAATGTGATTTAGGTATCTGCTGTTCAATGTCTTATGCTGTGAACGTAAATATTCTTGCTCCCCAAGTTATCTTCTCGATAACGCCGTTTTACTCGTACAATGCCTTACAAGTCAACAATAGAGCGCCATCTTACATCAGATGGGAATATCCTCCAAAATAACATCTCCCCTCCTATTCAGAGCAACAAAATACGCCTCCTTCGACTCCTTTTTCCATATCCAACCTCGTCAGCCAACCAAATTACAATGAGCCAAAAATTGTCCTGTGCTGTCCAAACAAGGGAAAGCAGGGAAACGGTGAGAAAAGAAGGGAAGGGGAGACTTACACTCCTAGAACTATCAGGCTTATCCCTATGAACCTTGGTAAACAGCTTCTTAAGCATGTTCTCCAACTTCTTGTCTTCTGACCCTTGGTAGAACTTGCAGACGAAGTGACCGCCGGGTTTGAGCGTGTCGTTTGCGAATGAGAGAGCGGCATAGCAGAGGTCCTGATTTTGGGTGGAAAGGGGGGAAAGGGAGGGGGAGGTGTTAGTAGTGTTTTGCTTCGAAGATGGAGGGTAGGAATTTCAAAAGGTTGGAGTTTTTGGATGTGGGGAAGAAATGTATGATGAATAGTTGATGGTCGAAAAGATTCAGAAGATTGGGTGGGATAACGAGAGGTGGGTGCATGATGACAAGAAACCAGACAAGAGAAATACACATACCATACTACCAGCGTGGTCCTTGAACGAAATCCCGCTCGTGTTCATCATCCTGCTATACGGGTTACTCAAAGTCTGGATGGAGAAGCCGGTGGTTTGGGGCCAGGGTTCTGACATGTCGCTTAGTACTACCTGTTTGTTTTGTTTTCCGGACAAAGGGGATACGTTAGCGGTGTCAGCAATGATTTTGTAGTTAGATGTCAAGTGAGATGGATGCTCCGTTCCCTGTTGTAAGCAACGGTAAAGAAGAGGGGCGAATAATGATAGTAAAGGAGGCGAGGGGTGTTGACTGAGAATGGTAATAAATGAACACGCACATCAACCAACCGCATTTGCTCTGGCTGCTTTTTCTTCCTTGGTTGTTGCTGCTCTTCTTGTTGGTGTCCCTCTTCGAGTTCCTCAGTACTATCTTCCCCGTCGAATTTGCTCTCTGTTTCTTTGGCTGCGGTGGTCGCCTTGTCTTCTTCTCGTCGGTCTTGTTCCAGAAGCTCAGGCTGCTGCAACTGAGCTTCTCTGACAGCCATCCGTTCCAACTCGATGTAACTCGGCCGGTCGGCAAAGATCTCTTGCTTTGCTACATCCTTTTGTTGTTGCCGTTGTTGCTGTTGCTGCTGCTGCTGCGGCTGCTCTTCCCGCCTCTCTGTGAGCTCCAACTTCTCCAGCCCTTGAACCATCTCCTCCACCACGTCGTTCTTCTCCTTCTGCCTAGCTTCACTTCCAGCCACTCCCTCGCCCACCTCACCCACTATCTCCCTCTCCAGCCCCGACCCCCTCGCGGCCTCCTCGATCTCTTCCCTCTCGACCCTTTCCTTCTCCTCCCGCTCCTTCGCCTCCTGTTCCACTCTAGCTGCCTTTTCCCTTTCCTTCCTCAATAACTCGACCCTCCCCCGTCCCTCCTCCTCCCTCAACCACCCCTTCACCAACCCCCTCACCCCTTCACTCAAGAAATTCCCCTGAATGGAACTTACTCCCCTCGGCGGCTGGGCGGGGATGATGTCGATCCCCACCACTTTTCCGTCGGGTTTGGTGAGGTCCAGCGCGACCTGCGACCAGCTGCCGGGCGCAAAACCGAGGTCGACGACGATCTGGGAAGAATTGCGGCGGAAGAGGCGATACTTTTTGTTGATTTCGAGGAGTTTGAAGGCGGCGCGCGATTTGAGCCCGGCGGTGCGGGCGGAGCGGGCGTAATAATCGTTGGATTGGCGGGCTTTCCACTGGGAGTTTGAGGAGGAAGAGGATAGTCTGAGCTGATTGGTGGTGGGGACATTGGTTGAGGGGCTGGGCGAGATGGTGGTCGTGGTGATAGTAGTAGTGGTGGGAAACAGGGAGGCTCTTGTGGTGGTGAAAATGGGCGTTGGTCGAAGGAAAAGGCGAGGTGGTAATCGTCGAGGCAACATCTTTGGTGTTTCTTGGGATGTGGCTTTCTTGTCGAGGATGGATGGATGGATGTACGCGTCGGAAGAAAATAGTGAGGAAGATCGAGATAAGACAATGGATATTTGGTTGCGTGGATGTTCTGCTTTTAAACCCAGTATGATGGGATAAAGTCAGAAAAATGGCTAAGCCTTATCTGATGAGGGCGTGAGCAGTTGATGGTGGATATAATGTGCAGTCAGTTGTTTGGGAACTTGCATGCAGTTTGTGAAGTTTTTCCACATTGCTTTCGTTCGGTTTGTGGGATACCCAATTACGGTAGCCAGCCAAGACAGCCCGATTAACTCATAATACGCATTGCTTCATAAATTCTCCAACGTCATCTCTTGACGCTCACATCAGCAACCAACCCCTTTAGTTTTACACAATCACCTGAAGCACTTCCTTAGAACAGGAGGTCAATTCGCAATGATTCACAAATTCTGGTATGAAGCCAATGATTGGCAAATCATGTTTCGCTATGTCCTGCAAAAACTGGCCCGTCAAACTGTATTGACCACCGACAACTGACAAGCGCTATGCGGGCTCGCTCGAGGCGGGTATCGGAAGGTGCAATGGGGCGCATGGATTCTGGTGTGCAGTATTTAACCGCGGGTCACGGTAGTAAACCGTTAGTTAGCCTGATCAACCAACCCACTCCCTCTGATCCTCTCCAACAACCGTGAGCACCACCGAGCATTGGCTGCAGTATCCATCATCAAGTTAGAATCAAACTGTCAACGTCCAAAAAGGTGTGAAACTTCGCTATCCAGAATCATGAAATCCTGGAATTCGACATACGAAACTTCCAACATGACGGGGGAAAAAAAGCCGATAACGCCTTCCCCAACTCGAAGCTCCTCACAATGGGCAACGCTTCCAGAAATGTATGTCCCGCTCAAGGATTCTGCCCTCTCCTTCATCACCAGTCAGCGTGTTCTAGATGGAAAAAAACAAGGCGACTGGAGCCCGCGACTATCTTAACTCGACTCGGAATCCACCCATCCAACCTTCCTTTGTTGCCTTAAAAGGACTGCTATTTGGTTCGTCATCGTCGGCCAAACGTCCCGAAAAATCAAAAATCTTGCGACATCTCCGTCCTACTGTTGCCTCTTTGGACAGAGCATGACTCGGAATCCTTCCACCCATCCTCCCTTCGCTTTGTTACCTCAGGAGGAGGAGGAGGAGGAGTCTTTGGTTCGTCATCAGTAAGAGAGTCGTAACTCTTCTCCACCGGGTTTGCCAGAGCAGCATTCATGTGCACACAGATGTTGTTGACGTCGTTGGCCAAGTTGTTAGTGCCATCTTTGCTTACTGCTGCGTTAGGAATTCTTTCCTCGTCCAACCATTAGGGGGCCGAAGGAGATGCCTGGTGCGGGTCCTGTTCCCCTTGTCCCAAATCGGCAAGGAGTCGTTGAAAGGCCGCCTCGCATTGTTGAAGGAGCTCAGCATGTCGCCTTTCAACTCGCTGCTGATATGCCTCGGCTTCAACTTCGTCCTCTTCCGCTGTGTTTGTGGAACGGGCCCTCTCCCGGTTTACATATCCGACAGTAACCAAGCGGTGGTCGGTTTTGGCAACCTGACGAGTAAAGCACTGCCTCAAAGGGGATGGTTTTCCCTGGAAGTTCAATCTGTGGTCTTTAGAGGCACTCACCTCATAAACAAGGCGCGTATCCCTGAAGTAGCCGTGGTCACGCATGATGCGATACTTCTGGCGGAACATCAGGGCCACTGATGCCTGTCCATGACCCATTGCGAATCTGGCTTTAGCCCGAGCATCCCTCTGCATGATTTTCTTGGTTTTTTCCATGTCGCATTCGGGATAGAGGTTGGGGTCACAGTTGCCAAGGAAGGAAGATTTGTCAACCACCTTTTTCGCGCGGTAACGTTTGAACCGATCGATGGTGCGCCAACAGACGTTGATGTTGGTGCGCTTCCTGAACTGCTTACTGATGTGCTTCTCAAACTCGTCAAGAAGAGCGACCTTTTCAACGGGGGTAGGCGCCCTCCTGTTATGCTGTTGCCATTCAAGCAACTTCGCATTGACACCGCCCCAGAGCACTCCCCCCTTGACAAACCTTCTTTCTGTCTGGTCCGCGAAGATCAGGTACTCTTTGTATCCGTTCAAAAGTCTGCAGTCACCACAGGTAACATGCGCGGAAAGCATGATTTCGTCATCAGTCTCCATACTCACTTTGCGGTAGGCATCCCACAAGTTATTACCCTCCTCTGGAAATTGTCTGTGTTGATTGGAAGTAAGCGGTTCTTCTGCATTGGAAACAGTGGGATCAACAAAAAACGGATAAAAACACTGCCTCTGCGCCAACCGGAGCGCACTCAGTGCCTTAACCTGAAGCCGGGGGTGGTCGGGATTGCGGCAGTGTCCGGAGCCCTGGCTCTGAAAATGGCAGCTGAAGCAACGCCCAGAGGCCGAGTCATTGATCGCGTTCAGCTTCAGGCAGTGGCAGCATTCCCAGAAAGCCACCTTGGAGCGGTCAATATGGTCGGATAACGCAGCCGGAATACCAATTCCAGACATGATGGGATGATCTTTGTGGTTGATCAAAGTACATTCCGGGCACAGAGAATGTGGAAAGGGGTCCAACTCGTTGCCGTAATGATCTCGCTTCCTGCTCCGACAATTCACCTCAGCACAGGGTTTCAAGTGGTCAGTGTTTCCAGGCTCGATCTCCGCAGGCTTGCCGTAGGCATCGGAATGGGTGTTATTGTGCTGGCATTTGCAGCAGATCCAGCCGACGGGAATAATTCGGGGGTCACGGCGATCCGGAAAACCATATCGAAGTCGGAGAGAGCCAAAACGGACCCAGTCTGCGTCCACGTTCGGGGACTGTAATGGACCTGGGTCGGTCATGACGAAGCCGGCTTTGTTGTTGGTATCCTGGAAACGATGCCGCCACTGTTAGTCTGGGGTTCGACAAGAGTGGTACTTTGATCTGGACCCCAAAAGACAGTGATCAAGAAGCCAGTTGAGACTAGAAGAGACAACGTTTTGATGAAGGGCAAGTCGACGATAGTGTTGGGGATGTGGGAACACACTGACCGAAACTAATTATCCGACATAAGCATATCTGCTGGGATTTTGTTTGCGATGGATGACGCTAGAGTCGGGTAGCAGGAAGCTCGTAGGTAACGCCAACAGATACCAGAAGGCTGTTAGTCCGAGACAAGAAGGCACAGGACTATCTATGCCTTGGAAGAGATCAACGCTGGATACGAGGGAACTGTTCGCAGCCAGTGCTGGAGGTCCGATGGGTAGGAGTGCAAGTTGTCACCAGAAAGTGACCTAGAACAGAGGATTTGGAGAGACACAGGACAGCGCTGCTGCTGGTGGCAATCTTCCCAAGAAGGGGTTTGGTAGGGATGCCGCTTCAGAGGGTTCAATAAGAGGGAAGCCAAGAGGCAGAGAGGAGTATACTGTGATTCACGCTGGCTTCAAGACCAGATAGCGATACTGTCTGGAGGAATAGGGTGATGCTAGAGGTAGGAGGAGGCCAAAGTGGACGAAACAAGCTGAAGGAAAGTTTGGATGCTCAACCGCGGTGCCTGGAGAAGAGAGAGGAAGTCCAAGGCTGGTTAGGGTTTCATGACCCGTTTCTTCTGCCACTTCCAAACACACCTTCAAGAAAAAAAAAAGAAGAAAAAGAACAAAATAGAAACAGCTCGTGGCTGAAGACTCGGGCATCGAGAGATGCATCATTGATAGCATTGCATGGAGCGGACCTCCGGAATCCGGTTTGGAAAAGACGGGGGCACCGTGGAAGATACAGCGGACATGGAAAAACCGTCCTCAGACCTTACGCAGCTCAGGGCAACCCACCATGTATGAATAAAGCAATGGAAGCTGGGTGTTGGATGCGTGCAATTTCTACTGGACTCCTCACCTCTTGTAGAGGTTGGTCAAGGAAGAAATCTACAAGTGTCTAATATTGCCAGTGAAAGGAAGGGTTTGTCGAGCGGATGCATTGTGTTATGCGAATTCCGATATCAACAAAAAAAAAAAAAAAAAAACAAGAAAGGAGAAAAAGGGCTGGAAATATCTTGTCCGACTGTTGACCAGCGAGCGTAAGGTATATATGACTATCATGAAGGCTACCCCAACTATGCCCAAAACCTACAAAATTCTTACACCCTCGGTGTCTTCGTCTTGCTCGATACCAGCATTTGAGACAGTATAAAGTGGCACACATCTTCGTCCGCCCAGTAACTCATGTGCGAAGCAATGGTGTTGATGGGATTGAAGTCCAGAACGCTCCTGTAAAGCCAATGTTAGCCATCTGCCGTCTTAAATCACAATACTTGAGCACGCGAAAGTGATGACTTACTCTTGGATACTGTAATCCACTCTCCCATTCCTGTTCAGCGCCCGTACCTTCATCTCCTCTCTCTTCAACTTCTGGGCCTTGGCCTCCTCCTTGACCCATTCCTCCTTGGCCGCAGCGGTGCTGCCCCCTTCCTTGGCGGCGTGAACCATATCCAACCTCTTCCTCTCAAACCTGCTAAAGAGCGTCTCCAGCTCGTCATCGATCAGCGCGCCATCGTGGCCGGCGTTGGCCAGTTGGCGCATCCTCTCCGCCGTCTTCTCGCTCCGTTGTGCGTCTGACATCTTGGGGGATTCGGGAGAGATGACACCGCCCGCAATATTGGTACCAGCACCAGGACTGGAATTCTGGTGCTGAGCCTGTGAGGCGTTAATGTTGGCTACATCTTCCTGGCTAAAACCGAGACTACGGTTGAGTAAACTGCTGGCAATACCGGCACTGAGACTGCTCCATAGTCCGCTAACGCTCTGCCCGACCTTGGCACCAATACCCGTGAGACCCTGTGGAGCGACAGAACCGAAGATGCTCTTCTTGGTATATGGCAGAGCTTGGGGCTTGAGAGTGGACATGGCGGGGGAGATCAAGGGCTCCAGACGATAGGAGATGGGATCTGAAGGGTGAAAAATGTTGAATAACTGAGCAACCTTGGGAGAGGAGATGCTGTACGGAAGGTTGGTGATAGGAGAGAGACTCTGATCACTGTTATGGTGGTGGTGATGGTGGTGATGCGCTGTGGCGGCAAGGAAAAATGGGTCATCCATGTATTCGGGATTTAGGGGGCTTTCCGAGGGATAGGCGTTGGGCAAGTGACGAGCCGCAATTGTTCGTCCCTTGAGCATCTGGAAAAGGCCAATGGGAGATCCGAGAGCGTAGAAATCTTCCACGTCAAACTCGAACGCAAGCTCCTTGGATTCTTTCGGTTCGTATCGGTCCTGGGTGTGTGTTGGCCATAATCTGAGCGGGTTCTTAAACGGCTCGGTTTCTGGTCGTTTTTCCCGTTGCCGACAGAGGATATCAAACATGATGGCAGACCCAAGGGAATGGCCGATGACATGCACTTTGCCGTTGAAGTTAGGATTGCGGTCTTTGAACAGCTTGTATATTCGGTTAGCTTCTCGGAGAACGATCTCCGCAATTGTTTCTCGGTATGCGCTTTGGTAGAGCAGGACGTCGAGAGCCAGATCGGATATGAGTGACCTTGCAAAAGCCACACCTTCGATTGTAATGTCATCTAGGGATGGGTCTTTTGTAACAGTTTAGCACTAACTTGTACTTGAACTTGCGTCAGAACACGGGAATCACTTACATTCGTCCTCTTCGTATGGAGCCTCACCCAAATCGTGCTCTCTCCTTTTCGGTTTGCGCTTTGGAAAGTCGAGGAGATGTCGCCAGACAACGGGCAAAACTTGAACACGCGAGTTGCCAGGGCCTTCCACTTCAATCTCGCCGTTCAGCGCTCTGAGATCGGCCGAAGAAGAATATGTCTCCTTTAATGTTTTCCGAAGCATATTCACGTCATGGACAAAGTTGACACTCTCGATCTTCTTTCCCAAAAGCTGTCCGATGCCGTGGGTGACGAGAACGAGATGCTCAATTTCGCGGCCCTGAGTCTCTCCTAGTCGCGCATTATAGTCGTCCCTGATCTCCTTCTCTTCTCTTTTCCGAATCGCTTCCGCCTCTGCCTCTGGATCCTTGACACCCTCTATCAGGTTTGATATTTGCCGACTGAGCCTGGCCCTCGTACTTTCGATTTCGTCGGGCCCCTCCTCTTCGCCCTCTTCCTTGACCACCACGGTCTCTTCAGAAAGTGAGTGCGCACCTGCTGGAGCAGAGCGTCTCTTGAGGACCTTTTGCAGCTTCTCGTCCTGTTCTGCGGAAGTGCTCTTGGTTCCAGTTGGAGTCGAGGGCCGCTTATCATCTTTGGGCTTCTTTGTTTCTGTATTATAGCCACGAACGAGCTTCACGCCGCTCATATAACCACCTCCAGCAAACCTCTCGTATACGGTCGAGGTCACCCAAGAGAGCACACCTTCCGATGAGAGCCATACAGTGCTTTCGTCGTGGTATGTTGCGATGTTGTTCATGTAGGCGCCAAATAGCCGATATGTCTGGGGCTGATGTTGGACTACCGTGCTCTCTATTTTGGCTGGGGTTTCTTTCTGGGCGGCAGCCGCAGCCTTGAGATTGCTCACTGAAGCCTTGGGTGTGACGGTCTTGGTACCCGAGTCGCTGCGCGTCCGTGTTGGGTACATCCATGGTCGTATCTTCATGTATCCTTCTTCAAGCTGGGCGGCAAGATTCTCCTCGCATGGGCGAACAGTCGAGCCTTCTTGGTAGAACCAAGTTCCTCGACGCACCTCATATACCGGACCCTCCCAGTAAACAGGGGCTAACTCGCGATCGTCGAGGTCGACGTCGAATAGAAAATCTTCGTTGACGGGGACTCGAATGTGATTCTTGGCCTCCTCCTCAGTTGAATCCAGGTTTGTGTTGTTTGCTTCGTCACCCGAGACGACGCGAGGCCGCTTGGAGCCTAAACGGACACTGGTCGAGCGTTTCGGATTCGCCCTCTGTTGCTCTATCTCTTCGAGTCTTGCTTGGTAGGCAACTTCGAGTGCTCGGGAGTCTCCGGGAGAGAAGGGCGCATATTTCTTTGGTTGCGTCTGGGTCTTTTTGTCATCGTCGGTCTTGGACTGGAGGAACTTGGGCTTGCGCTTCGGGACCTAGAGGAAAAGAAGTTTGGGTCAGGGCGTTTTCAACCCTATACAAGTGATCAGACAGACAACGTACATCTACGGCATGGAACCATTGAACATTTAGTGGAGGGCAATCAGGGGGATACCGCTTGAAGCTGTGGCCGTAAAAGGGGTTGGTACTATGGTCCCCGGGGTTTGGGTTCACAGGGACCACTGGTTTGGGCGGAGGTGGCTCCTTGGGCGTTGGAGTGGTGCTGCGGTTGGCCGCCCAAGGATTGATGGAATCGACGGCGGATGCGAGATACGACTTTTCAGGCTTCTTGTCGGCGGCCGCGCCGGGGCCAGTTCCGCTAGCTGGCGCCATCGGATTTTTGCTGTGACCAGAAGGCCACCAGGCAGAGAAAGAAGGCGAGGAAGAGAACGAGGCTCTGGGGCCTCGGCTAGACGCAAAGGTCAAGGTAGTTGGTCTGAAGACTGCTGGCAGAGGGTAGAGAGCCTGACGGGTACGAGGACCCAGGCCAGTCCCGCGCAGACGCAACCTTATCGCGGAAACAAGCGCCAACGTTGCTGACTTTTGAAGTTGACAGGCTGACTTTTCTTCTCACCAGTCCGGTCGCCCTGGAAGTATTCGTTGGGTATCTGTATGCACCCCAAGGGAGAGGATACGAGACAGTTGGTCTTGGCCCAATGTTGGTTGGTGGAAAAGGGTTATCTGGCGATGGAACCCCAATTCTGACTCCCGCCGTCTTGAATGGTTTTGTCGGTTGGCTCGTTCAATGTCCAAAATTCGGTTTCGATCGATGTTTGGTTTCTAGGTAGTTGTCGTTGTTGTTGTTGTTGTATGATGGAGTCTCATGGGTGCAATGTGTTGTAACAACTGAAGGAGTGAAGCTTCCTCGGGAAAGATGCGCGCACATGCAAGCGAAAGACGGGACGGGAGGGCGGTTAGATGAACAACGCAAAGTGTAGTAGATTACCTAGGTAAGGTAGATATATACTTGTAGATGTTAAGTTGTGTATGACACTTGAAGTGTATGGTATGTATGGTAAAGAAGAGGAAACACCGGAAAGTAACAGCTGGTCTTGGCTGCTGCTGGCTTGTGACTTTTCTCATCTTCCACGGAATGACAGGAAGGGCCAATGGAGCTCCCTTCGGTCTTGGACAACACGGCAATGACGATTCCAGCAGATCAGAATCAAGCGGTGATTGGCAGCAGCTGGTCCTTGTCCCACTCTCACCCATCAGTTCCGGGTACTTTTAGAACAGTTCAAGGTACTTGAGCGGCTCTGTCTTGGAGGCTCGGCTCAGAGGGAGTTCAGGTACCCCTCTCCTAAAGCATGTACCCCTACAAGATAACGGATGGTGGGGTATCAGCGGCCTGGAAGGGGCCGGTCGATCAGATGGAGGCACCGCGTGGTGGGGCACAGGTTTCGAAGACTGTCTCCAACTCGCGACCATTGGACCAGTTCCAGGACGCGGAGTCATGCGGGCGGCGACGGCGGAGGGTTTCTTCTTGACTGCCGTGCCGCCCGGGCCCCGCCCCCCCTCCAGTGTGGTGCCCGTTTTCACCATGGGTGCACCACTGTAATGGAGACGCAGCGCGCGCAGCGACAAAATAATTTTCAAAAGACGGGTCGCGAATTTGTCCCAATTCACTTTTTCCAACACCATCGGCTATCTGCCACCTCATTCCATTCCATTCTCACTTTCGACTTCCATTGTCTGGGATATCCAGCACACGGCGACATTTGCTACGGCATAGTGTATTCTATAACCTCGTCGGAAATCCCACTACGACAAGCGTCAACTGCAAAATTTCACCGATATAAGCCTCGGCCGATAGCGATCTCTACCCCGAATCTACCGCCAGGGCACCTCTCGTCGCCCACCACAGTCTCAATCGACAGCCTCTGGCTTCCGTTTCGCTCTAGGTTCTTCACAGCGACCATTGCGACGGGTCTGACAAGCACTCGATAACCTCGACTCGACATCACCTCCATCAAACAATACAGAGAGTCCGCCATGAGCCGGTAGCGACATTGTATGATCACCAGAATAGGGCACCCGGACTGCTCTCTTCCAGTAGCCACCTACTCTACCTGCTACGCATGCCCTGTTGATGGCATTGCTAGTCTCGACAACTGAAATACGATTCATATCACAATGGGTGCCGAGCAGAGAGCTCCTATCAAGGAGCAGCTGGCCGACCAGCTCCCTAAGCGCTTCAGAGCCCTGCAGTTCGGAGTCCAGTCACACCAGGATATAGTAAATCAGGGTGTCCTCGAAGTCTCCGACAACCTCCTGTACGATGTCGAAAACGGCCGCCGCACTTTCCCCCACGGCCCCCTCGATCCCCGTCTCGGTACTTCGAGCAAGACGGGCACCTGCGAGACCTGCAATCTCCCTCTCCAGTCCTGCGCCGGTCACTTCGGTCACGTCCGCCTCCCACTTCCCGTCTTCCACATCGGCTATCTCAAGTACATTCAGGCCACACTCCAAAACATTTGCAAGACCTGCTCAAAGGTCCTGCTCGAGGAGGAACCCAAGGCCAAGTTCCTCAAGGCTCTCCGTGCCCCTGGTATCGATAACCTCAAGCGATCAGCCATCCTCAAAAAGATCAACGATGAATGCCGCAAGCAGAAGACGTGCCCCTACTGCGGCGACACCCAGGGTGTTATTCGCAAGTTGAGCGTCATGAAGCTTACTCACGACAAGTTCTCGCACTTCAACAAGTCGACTGCCCAGAAAAAAGTTCCGCCCGTTGCCAAGGCCGCCTTCGATTCCTCCTTCATCCAGGCAAAAACATTCACTCCGGACCTCGAGAAACACTCCAAGAAAGCTATGGACGACATGGATCCTCTCAAGGTCCTGAAATTGTTCAAGAAAATTACCGCCGAGGACTGCGAGTTGCTCGGATTGAACCCTTCCGAGGGCAGACCAGAGATGTTCTTGTGGCAATATCTTCCCGCTCCCCCAATCTGTATTCGTCCGTCGGTCCAGCAAGAAGCCGCCAGTAACGAGGATGACATTACTAGTAAGCTCTCCGAAATCATTCTCTACGCCGGCCATTTGCGCGAATCCCTCCTCAAAGGCGCTGCCCTCAACACCATCATGGAACAGTGGGAGTTCATCCAGCTCCAGGTTGGCATGTACGTCAACAGTGATGTTCCCGGTCTCTACCAGCCAGGCTTTGGCAAGCCCATCCGCGGCTTCTGCCAGCGTCTGAAGGGTAAGCAGGGTCGTTTCCGTGGTAATCTGTCGGGTAAGCGTGTCGACTTCTCCGGCCGCACAGTCATTTCGCCCGATCCCAACTTGGGAATCGACCAGGTTGCCGTTCCCGAGCGCGTGGCCAAGAACCTGACCTATCCCGAGCGGGTGAACCGCAACAACATCGAAAAGTTGCGAAAATGTGTCATGAATGGACCCAAGGTATGGCCTGGTGCTCAGGGCGTCATCAAAAGGGACGGCGGCATGAAGTTCAACTTAAACTTTGGTGATGAGTCCATCCGGGAGGAACGCGCGCGGGAACTCAAGTTTGGTGACGTTGTTGAAAGACATTTGGAAGACGGCGACATTGTACTCTTCAACCGTCAGCCCTCGCTACACAAGTTGTCCATCATGAGCCATCGTGCAAAGGTTAGACCCTGGAGGACGTTCCGTCTCAACGAATGCGTGTGCACTCCCTATAACGCCGATTTCGATGGAGACGAAATGAACCTTCATCTCCCGCAAACAGAAGAGGCTCGTGCCGAAGCCATCAACCTCATGGGTGTCCAAAACAACTTGATTACCCCCAAGAACGGTGAACCTATTATCGCCGCCACGCAGGATTTCATTACTGCGGCATACCTCCTGAGTAGCAAAGATTTGTTCCTCGACCGCAAGACCTTTACCTACATCTGTACGCAGATGCTGCTGGGTGAAACCCATCTCGACCTTCCCCCGCCTACCATCATCAAACCCGTCGAGTTGTGGACGGGCAAGCAGATTTTCAACGTTTTGATGCGTCCCAACAAGCAATCACCAGTCCTCGTCAACCTCGAGGCCAAGAACAAGGTCTACAAGGCGAAGCCAGGCGAGCTTCCGGATATGGACATTGACGATTGCTACTTGGTCGTCCGCAACTCCGAGGTCATGTGCGGAAGAATGGACAAGTCGACCGTTGGTGGTGGCAAGAAGAACTCGGTCTTTTATGTTATCCTTCGTGATTGGGGTCCGGAGCACGCTGCTCAGGCCATGAACCGTCTGGCCAAGTTGTGTGCTCGCACACTAACCCTCCGCGGGTTTTCGATTGGTGTTGGCGACGTCTATCCGTCCAAGGATTTGACAGAGCACAAGGCTAAGCTGGTTCAGGATGCGTATGCACTCTGCGACGACCTCATCGCACAGTTCAAGTCTGGAAGGCTTGAAAAGGCTCCCGGTTGTAACATGGAGGAGACGCTTGAGAACAAGATCTCTGGTATTCTCAGTAAAGTCCGTTCGCAGGCCGGTGACTACTGTGTTGGCCATTTGAGTCGCAACAATTCTCCCTTGATCATGGCCAAATCCGGTTCCAAGGGTTCCGACATCAACGTCGCTCAGATGGTTGCCCTTGTCGGACAGCAGATTATTGGTGGCAAGCGTGTTGCGGATGGATTCCAGGATCGTACCCTCTTCCACTTCCACAAGAACGCTCGTCAGCCCCCCAGCAAGGGTTTCGTGCGCAACAGTTTCTACACTGGTCTGGTGCCCACTGAGTTCCTTTTCCACGCCATCTCTGGCAGAGAAGGTTTGGTCGATACCGCCGTCAAGACAGCCGAGACAGGTTACATGTCTCGTCGTCTCATGAAGTCATTAGAAGATCTCTCAACTCAGTACGACGATACCGTGCGGACATCAGAAGGGAATATTGTGCAGTTCCAGTACGGTGCCGACAGACTGGATCCAGCAGACATGGAGGGTAACGCCAAGCCTGTTGATTTCGAGAGATCATGGAATCATGCCGAAAGCTTGACAATGAACCACAATGACAGGTCGCTGCTTCCGGCAGAAATCTCGGCCATGTGCAAGGAAATTCTGGACGAAAGGCGGAAATGGTACGTGCGCAAGCACCTTGTCACGGGCGAGTTGCTGCACTACGAGGACAAGACGATTGCGGAAAGTGACGATCACGATGTGTTCATCGCCATCGATGAGCATGAAGGTGCCAGAGTCTATCTCAACACCATTCAGGCTGAGATGGACAAGCGTGCGCTTAAGCTGGCAAAAGCACGCAAACTCGCCGGCTTGGATCCTTGTCTGCCCCAGGACAACGCGGACCTGCTGAAGGAATTTGCTGCATGGGAGAAGAAGCAAAACGGTGGCGATATCAAGATGTTGGATCCGGAAGAAGAAGAAATTCAGCAAGCCCACGTTGATCGTGTCGCCAAGGTTTCGGAGGCTACCCTGAGAAAGTTCATGAACCTCTGTCTTTCCAAGTTCGATAAGGCAAAGGTGGAGCCTGGCCACGCCGTCGGCGCCGTTGGTGCGCAATCTATCGGTGAACCCGGTACGCAGATGACACTCAAGACTTTCCATTTCGCCGGTGTCGCCGGTATGAGTATCACTCAGGGTGTTCCCCGTATCAAGGAAATCATTGGCGCCTCGAAACTCATCAGCACGCCAGTCATCAGCTGCGAGCTCGAGAACAACCGAGACATCAAGGCCGCGCGCATCGTCAAGGGCAAGATTGAAAAGACTTATATCTCGGATGTCATCACTTATGTTGAGGATGTCTGGCTTCCGGATGTTGCCAAGATTGTCCTCAAGATTGATATGCAGGCTCTTTCGGACATGCAGCTCGGTATCGGTCTTCGCGAGATCATGGTGGCCATCGTCAAGGCTAAGAAGCTCAAGCTCAAGGTGGAGATGGACGACCTCAAGATCGGTCCCGATAATACTATTGAGGTTATCGTGAGCAACGACTGGAAGGATCTGACCGCACAAAAGAAGGCGGCGCGAGTTCGCGCCGCAGCGATTGAGAAGGGCCAATTGCTTCTCACCACCTCGGATGAGACCGCCGCCGACTTCCAACTGCGCGTCAACTTCCTCAAGCGCATGCTTCCTGCTGTGCCCATCTCCGGCTACCCCGAGGCTTTCCGTGCCATCATCCAATCCAGCGAGTCCAATGAGCACAAGGTCCTTGTTGAAGGTTACGGCCTGCGCGCCTGCATGACCACGGAGGGCGTCATTGGCACCAAGTGTATCTCCAACTCCATCATGGAGTGCCGCGACGTTTTGGGCATCGAAGCCGCCCGCACCACCATCGCCAAGGAAATCGGCAGCGTCATGGGCGACATGGGCATCGATCCCCGTCACATGGATTTGCTGGCCGACGTCATGACCTACAAGGGCGAGATTCTCGGTATCACGCGCCATGGTCTCGCCAAGATGCGCGACAGCGTTCTGCAGCTTGCCTCATTCGAGCGCACGCCCGATCACTTGTTCGATGCGGCCGCGGGCATGAAGACGGATCGCATTCTCGGTGTGTCGGAGTGTATCATTATGGGCCAGACCATGAAGATCGGTACGGGAGCGTTCCAGGTCGTCAGACGGTTGGGCATTAGGGATCATCAGGTTAGACCCAAAAAGTCCATGTTCGAGGAGGTGTGGAAGAAGGATGAGGCAGAAAAGAGGAGGGCAAAGATGGAGATGAGGAAGACCACTGCGGCTGCGGCTGCGTCTACCGGGCGTGGGGGAAAGATTGATGGAATGATGCCGGCAGCGCCCATGGTGGCTGTTGCCTAAGCAGTAAGTGTCATTTTTGGATTTTCTTCTTTGCATGGTAATGGTGTCGAACGGAAAGTTTTTACACAAAAAATATCTCAGGGGATATCAATGTACGATGTGGGGATCTTGGGAGCCGTCAGGAAAAAAAAAAAACTGGCTTCATCAAACTGTCTTGATATCTCTTGATGGGGATGACAGAATGCGAGATCATGCGTCGAGAAGGATGGGATAAGAGTTGATACCCTGGGGTTTTGAGCGCGCGCGCGTGTGTGTGTATGTTTAATCATAGAGAGTCAAAGCTGCGCGTGGAAAGGGAGGGTGGTGTTTTGGAGAAAATGGTCTTTGGCGGTTATATATGTTTATTAGCTCCTTCATGTAAGACGAAGAATGCCCTTTTGTTGAATACGGCGAACAACCCAAATGTGTTGAAGTGAGGTGAGCTTGTTGGTCACATGATCAGGCGTTCTGATCTTGCAAGTGAGCAAACGCTCATCGTGCGTGCCAAAGAAATGTTACGTCATTATTCCATTTCACATTTCTCTTTCCTCGCTTTAATCCTACCGCAAGCTCTGCACTCGGGCAATCACCATCTCATCAACAATCCGGCTTCTCACAATGTGCGGTAGGTACGCCATCAACCTGCGGCCCTCAGAGGTGCGCCGCATGTTACAAGCGGATAACATGCCAGTCGATGATGCGCCGGACGATGAAGGCGACGATTCGCCACGACAGAGCTACAATTTTGCGCCGGGATATCGTGGGGTTGTTTACAGGGCCCGGATAGGTGGCGGTGGTAGTACTCGTGGAGCTGGAGGGCGGAGGAGAGCAGCACATAATGATAGCGCTCAGGAAGGAACCGAACCGCTAGCCGAAGGCGAGGAGGAGGAAGAGCACCATCAGAGCCAGTCCCCGGAAGAAGAAGAAGAAGAACAGGAGCAAGAACAGGGAAAACAACAAACTCAGCAACAACAACAACAACAACAACAACAACAACAACAACAACAACAACATGACAACGAGAACCAAGATCAAACCAAGCACCAATTCATCCTCCAACCAATGAAATGGGGTCTCATTCCCTCCTGGACCTTCAAATCCAAGTCCAAGCAGCAGAAACCAGGATCAACAAACTACACAACAACCCTCAAGACCATCAACTGCCGCGACGGATCCCTTTCATCTTCAAGCGGCATGTGGTCCCGCATCAAACACCGCCATCGCTGCGTCATCCCCGCCCAAGGATTCTTTGAGTGGCTCAAGACCGGTCCTTCGGGAAAAGAAAAGATCCCGCACTTTGTAAAGAGAAAAGACGGCAAGTTGATGTTATTCGCTGGACTCTGGGATTGTGCCCATTACACCGATGAAGACGGCACTGACAAGGCAATATGGTCGTATACAATCATCACGACATCGAGTAACGACCAACTCAAATTTCTGCACGACAGGATGCCGGTTATCTTGGATGCTGGGTCGGAGGAATTGAAAAGGTGGTTGGATCCGGCGAAAGATGTGTGGAATAGGGAGTTGCAGGATGTGCTCAAGCCGTTTGGAGGGGAATTGGAGTGTTATCCAGTTGATAAGAGGGTTGGGAAGGTGGGGAATGATGGGGATGATTTGATAGTGCCGGTGAGCGAACAGAGGGAGGAGAGGAAGATTGAGACTTGGTTTGGTGGGGGTGGGAAGGGGGGCAAGCGAGAGGAGAAAGAGGAGGAGAAGGAGGGGGAGGTTGAAGTCAAGACCGAGACAGGAAAAATCAAGGTTGAATCCGTCGACGAGTTGGCACAAGAAACGGACCAGAAAGGGAAGGAAGCTCGTTCGCCGCCGCGAAAAGGTATCAAGAGGGAGCCAGCTTCGGAGCTGGGTGGTGATGAGCAACCGCCTGTTAAAAAGTCGATGGGGGCTGGAGACAAGTCTTCACCACTCAAGGGGAGTAAGCAGAAGCCGCCACCACCGGCGGCGTCGAAAGCAAAAGGAATAAAACCAATCAGTGCAACGAAGAACAAAGGGAAGGGGAGTCCAATCAGGCACAGGAATGCGCCACCGCCGGGGACGCAGAAGATCACAAAGTTTTTTGGGAACAGTGCTTGATGAGAAGAGGTGGAGGGATCAGATCCAATATAGTATTCAGCTAAAGCACTCATCGATTCCAGAGGATGTACGTCCGAACATGGCGGTCGCTGTGAGGCCGTGGTAGAACAAAGCACTTCGTCTCGTCGCCGTCGGTCACAGCAACCCACCTTTTCTATGCCGTGTCCAGTCAGTTGATGACCCGGCCAAGGGGCCGGCCAACTGGTCGCTCGAATGAGTTTGTTGCTCTTCCGCACAAAGCGACAATATGTTCCTCAAACTTGTAACATTTTATACTTTGACCGGCGACGACAAAGATAATGAGTGGTTAACTTCCTTTCCTGAGCCCCAGAAAATATCCAGTGGCTAAATTCAACATTACTATCTGTGTGTTTACGAAAGGTCCGACTATCCAAAAAATAGGAAGATTTCTCAGGTTACAAAGTCGAAAGGTCTTGACATAAGTAAAACGTATCCAATCATTTGTCGCCTAACGAGCACTATCAGCATCTCAGAGTCATTCAGTGGTTACCGCCAGGTTGGGTACGTCTGCTTTGTAAACGGTCTTGTGTCACCGAGCAACAACCCAGCCAGCCGGTCGGTCGGTTGGTGGCTAGTGTCAGGTGTCACTGTCAGTGAACAACTGCTTCGGTGCGGTGTTGCCTGCCTGTCGTCTACCTGCATCTCTTGCCCCTCTTACCCCGAAGCATGACCACGACGGTTACTGCCCGTGGTGTTGTTGTCGACTGTTGTGCAGGGGGGGAGGGACGACCGGCCATGCGTTTGCCCACTGCAGAATTTGAGGCTATGGGTAGAGAAAAGGTTAGCAACCGGGTGTGGATTTTGCCTGGCAAAGAAGGGACTACATCATCACAAGTTTATAGTCTGCTCGGATCTATCACAGAGCTCAAACAACTTCGTTCTGTTTACCATCTTTACGTGCCTCCATTTTGGTAGATACAGTTTTCTCCATCCACAGGTCTTGTTTTGGCATATCGCGTGTACCAGACACCGCATTTCTAGAGATTTTTCTCTCTGTCTCTGGCTTGACAACCAGAGGTTGTCTGAATTTCCATACAACCAGCAGCTCACACTATCTACCGACACCGACTCTAAAATGGCAGACGAGAAGAACAACAACAACAACAACAACAACAACAACAACAACAACAACAACAACAACAACAACAACAACAACAACAACAACAACAGCCATGACAAGCTCAACTTCGATGAGTCCCACCAATCTGCGATGACAACAACCTCCACGGCCAACGGTACCACGGCCAATGAAACTACCACCAACACTACGAACGGCTCCAACACTTCATCTAACCCAGCCTCAACCTTGCACGCAGCCGCAAGAAAAATCCCCGCAACAGAGATTCCCTCATCCATCTTCCAGTCCCTCACCAAGCCCACTCCAACAACCACGCACCAACAACCCAGCCTACCACGCACACTCTCAGCCACAAGCTCGGATATTCGCCGCCGCATATCCCAATTTGGCAACGACCTCAGGGTCTTGGGACAGGTTTTCGGCGAAGATGTTAACCGGTACGGTTCTCTTCAGACTGCAGAGAGGTTTAGGCAGGTGTACGCAACGTTTGTCGAGGTTTCGCAGGGAGTGTTGAGCGAGTTGGATGAGTTCGATAGGTTGGATGGAATGGTTGAGGGTGAAGGGTGGGGGGAGATTGGGGATGTGAGGGAAAGAGGTGATCAAAATGGCGATGAGGAGGAGAAGAATAATGGTATGGGTGAGAGGGAGCCCAACGGAGAGATGAGGAATGGGACTTGAGACGGTTATGGGAAGGGGAATATGAAAAATAGGTCGTTGATGTTGGTCTGTAGCATGCCGTGCTGGTCGTGTTACTTACCTGTACTATACATGGGGAAGACTACAAGTTCTTTTTGTCGCGTCAGCAATTGTTGGCTGTTGGCCGTCGCTCCTTCTCAGGTCCGTTTCTTTGTACGCATACCCGCCAACTGAGAGCTGGGCGGCAGACTTTCCTCTAAACAAGCACGCCCAACCCATCATCTGGGATAAAGAGATTCCCGGCGTCACATCTACCACCAACAAGCCGTTCAAATGACGATACAAGACAACCGGTCCCTCACTGGTCCAGAGCGTAGATGCCTTTGCCATGCGCCAGACGGAGCATAGCGTGCTTGGAACAACCCCATCTTTCGACCTTGCAACTGAGTCCTGGCTTTACGGATTATCGCGCGCCTGTCGCATAAGAACTGCAATGATTACATTCACCTTCCATTCACAAAAGGTCACGGTGACCCTCGACCATTTCTCACATGATCCAAGCAGACCAACTTGGCCTCCAGCAGGTCATCAATCACTACAATGAAGATAAGCATGGGTGGTCGTCCATCGCCTAGGATAAGCAGGTCATATTGCGTCCATTCAGAATAACCACGGAGCGGATGCAAGCCGTCACTCGATAGCAAGAGGATTTAGTAGGCTCATGGAATTTCTGAAACGTTGAGATTCGTCGCACCCGCCATTTCCATTCTCCAAACAATGATCAGCAGAAGTAACGAGATGAATCGTTTTCGCCGTTGTATTTTGAGTTGTTGTTTTGACGGGGGTGACGATGTCCCTTCACCGACACAACGCCGCATCCCACGACACCCACAGAACCAAACAGCTCCCTTATTTCAGCAAGCACAATATCAGAAGACACAACTGCGGTCTCAATATCACACAGAGGCTCAGCATCGGGAGTATGGACAAACATCGCCAAGTCCACCAAGACCGAAAAGGCCTCTACCTCCATCAAAGTCCCCGGTATACCAACACCATCATATGAAAAACGATCACCAGCCCCCAGCGCGCCCCATAACAGAATGGCCCGCTCCTAACCTCAATCAGCGACCAGGAAAGATTTCGGAAAGTTTGACTTTCTGGTGGGATGACGCGGTATCACAGGACAGCTACCCTGAATCACCCGAGATTGACTTCGATCCCGACCTAACACCGCCGCCTTTATATCATCGGTATCCACCCAAGGGAGAAGAACAACAACAACAACACACGTTTCCAAAACCCTTTACCGTCTCTACACCAGCTACAAGGAGGCGTAACGTGCCGAGCAGCTATGACATTTCCTACTATTTTAGAAATAGTCCCAGCGTAGCCATACCATGGAGACCACCTACACCACCCCCTTCTCAACCATCATCACTTCCCCACTACGAAGACTCGAGCGCTGTTGCTAATTGGGCACTGGGAGTAGAAAAAGGCAAATGGGAAGAGGAAGTATGGGAAGAAGAAACAGAAAGAGATAGAGAAGAGGCCAGACATCAAGACCCACGGATTGTATCGGGTGTCTCTTCCTTATCATACTACTCAGAGGTTGCACATCAACACCGGCGCCCTGTATCAGATGTTTCTTCTGTATCGTCTTATTATTCTGAGTACCGAGAAAGCAGGGCGTTGACCCCCATACCAGAGGTGAGGAAGTGGGGGGATGCTAAGTATGAGGACGCAAGGCGGGAGGAATCGAACTGGTTGTAGACATGGGACATCATGTGGTTGTTTACAAAGTCATGGTTACGATGGCATGGAAATTTGCAGAGAGCAGAGAGATGATTTAGACATCCTGCGACGAAGTCCCTACCGACTTGTTTTGCCCTTCTTCGTGTTCCCCTCGCTTGTCAGATCCCTCGGCCAGGGAGTCAATCATTTTCCACTTCGACGTAACAACCGCATTCGAGCGGCTAACCATGAACAAACCGTGAAGGACACTTCTTTCGTACACTCTAGTCGCCCATGAACAAAAGGTGGAGACCCAACCAGTTCACGGGATCAGTTTTGCGCGAGTGTCTGCCTCGAGATCATCGGCTCCACTTATCGGTTTCATAGCAGCTGTTGTTAGCTCAGGATAAGGCAAGCGAGGATAGAGGGGGAGGTACCTCTACTTGCGGTTGGATAGTGACAGACGCTGTAGGCGAATGTGGGCATTGACGATGATACCTAGACTAGATGAGCAAGAGAACGAGAGATGGAAAAAAAAAAAAAAAAAAAAAAAAAAAAAAAAAAAAAAAAAAAAAAAAAACTTCACGTCCATTGCGAGGAGAAAGGACGGAGTGTCCTAAAATCATCACTACCTCTGGGGTAAGAGCAGCCCAATATCGTTATAGTGTGGATGAAGGTGTAAAGTCGATGCAAGGTTTAAGGAAGGAGCGGGATGACGGCATTCATCGTCCTCCTCTCCTTCCTCTTCTTCGTCGCTCTCACCCTCCTCCTCCTCCCACCTTTCCAGTTGCTCTCGTTCATCTATTCCCAGGTTCCATCCTCTCCAACGTGAGTAAGAAGCAAGGGAACATATACCACGCCATCATACGGTTTCAACTTTCTCTCCTCAGCTTGTCATCGAGCTGGCGGGGTGAAGTGTTCTTTGGATGGTGGACAATTCAGGTAGTAGAAAGACGGCTTCTTTCGATGTTCCAAGGGTCTCGAGGATCGACTCATCACTCCCTTTCAAGGGCAACATTCAGCACCAGATGAAGTCGGGATAATCCATCTGCGTAAAGAGCTTGCGTAATCATTTGTCCCAAAGTGTCTGACTTGTTTACTCGTGCTTTTCTGACCCAACTTTTTGTTTTGGATTGTCC